AGTGCGATATCGATCCGAAGTATTGGGTACCGACAATTCAGCACTTAACTAGACAACAGTTTTATTTGCCGCTCTCAGTTGTCAACTCTACGGTGACGTCACGTCAAAATTACTCTCACGAATTCTGCTGCAATCGGCGCAATCTTGTATTCTATGGCGCGCATTCATAGTCAAGCAACTAAAGGCCCGTCCACATACAACTTTGGCGTTGCGTTGGCGCTGGCGTCGCTTTGACAGCAGCGCGAGTAACGCCCGTGCTTGCTACAATGAACGCGTAGCAGAGAATACTTTGGTCACTAAATTAACACACTAGCGGCAGATAAATAAAAAATTTACATCAATAATTGCATTAAAAACTATATTTCTTGCCCGGATTTAATTAAAAATGAAAATTAAATCACATAATTTTGATTATTTAGAACAGCTGACGAACGACGCACGCGAAAAGTTGAGAGTTGGCCATCTTTCTGCGTTGTGTTGGCGTTGGCGTTGCCCAACTTTGGTTATATGGAGACTTTCATATAAATGCATGTATTCATAGTCAGCTGTCGAAGCGACGCCAACGCCAACGCCACGCCAAAGTTGTATGTAAACGGGCCTTAACCCTGCCAGCCACGGCTCACCACTTTCCCCTGAAAATCAAACGATTTACAAACACATTCACAACTTTTTAGTCATCTCACCCACACACTTACAAATTTTTTGTTCGAACTGTCAAAAAAATGTCCCTTTGTTAGAGCTACATACCCGATAAGAATTCGTACTCTAATAAGAATGCTATGCGTTAGAGCGAGCAAGTTAGAAACATCGGAGTTTTGATGACAGTATACATATGGGGTGTTCACAGTTCGTTCCAAATTGTGTCTGGAAATGTATACGTCTACATTTTGAGACATTTTTAGCATCAAACTGTGAGCACCCCTTTCTAGCAGTCTTCTTCCTTGCGTGCATTTCTTATATGTCGCCTTTCGATTTTGTTTCTGAAAAATTGTAATTATTTAACTTAATTACCAATTCCTAATATTTCTTATTTCTTTTCCTTGATTTGTTTCTTTTCATCAGAAATTGCGCTCAAATTAAATGCAAATACAGAAAACGTGCCCAATAAATAAAAAAAATGCGATTAGTATTGCCATAATGCAACCCTGCTGCGAGGTTGCAAAATGTAGACGCGTAAAAAACATACCTTTGAGTGTGACAAAATGTAGACGGCGTCGTTTTCCAATTTTGTATGGGAAACAACAACACCACAGATTTTACGGTTAGAAAACGTCTTAAAATGTAGACGTCTACATTTTGAGACACTATTTGGAACGAACTGTGAACACCCCAATACTGTGAAGAAATGTCACTTTGCGAAAATTTTGAAGGTAAGAATACGTATTTAACAATTTTATTTAATTATCATGTAATTTCTTCTTTTAGATTGCAAAACAGCAGCGACTTAGTTACATTCTTAAGGTATGTATTGAGACTTTTTATATGTTTATAAATTTGAATTGATATTTTTGTTTGTTAACAGATTGGGATTCACCATCAGCACCTTCAACGCTTGCATCTCCAACGCCAGGAGCACAATTAGAACCTTCTGCCCTCAGCTTATTCATCGCCAGGAGCACCACCAGTACCTTCTACCCTCAGCTCCTTCGGGAAAATTTTAGTTTGGCATCCCCCGCGTACAAAAAAAAAGGTGGCTATAAGGGGGTAGGGGGAGTTCTCCTGATTGCAAATATATATACTTTTAGCCGCAGGAGGCTTATAGCTTTTAAGTTATTTGTTGTTAAAGTTTGTAAATTGAACTAACCTCTCGGCGCTATTTCACACAATAAACACTATATTTATGTAGACACTTCGGCAAAATAGTTGCATTAAAACCCCGCGCAATGAAATGTAAACATATTTTTTACATTAAATTTTTAGTAAATTAAGTAAGTTTTAATAATTATCACGCACTTATATATGTATACGTACATTGGGTAGGTTCAGAAGGCGCAGCAGTTGAGCGCAACCGTTGCTAAAAAAATCAGTGATCGTTATGCGTCTTCTGAACGGCTTGATACATTAGCTGTCAAATTCAACTCTCAAAAACATGTTGTCTCAAATGATCAGAAAAATATTACGATCATCTAACACGCAACTGTTCAGTTGATCAGAAGTATACAACAACGCGTTCAGAAGGTGCAATCGCAACAGTTACTGAGCTGTTGCACCTTCTGAACGTGCCCATTGTGAATACAGAACCGTTGATTCAACCATGGTTTCACACTGACATTAGAAGAGTGCAGCCACATCTAAGAAAATAACAATAAAAGAGAATAGTTTTTATCGTACCCATTTTCTTGCTCAGCGTTGAATTAGTAGTAAAGGAGGGTATGGGGTTAAATACCCCCAATATATAAAAAAAAAACTGACAAGCGCCGCAGGCGAAAATTTGTAATAAAAAATCGCGCGATTTTTTATTAAAAATTTTCATTATTTATGGAAGTATTGATTTTAATGGAAAAAGCGCCGCAGGCGAAAATTTTTTATAAAAAATCGCGCGATTTTTTATTAAAAATTTTCATTATTTATCGGAGTATTGATTTTTATGGAAAAAGCGCCGCAGGCGAAAATTTTTAATAAAAAATCGCGCGGTTTTTTATTAAAAATTTTCATTATTTATCGAAGTACTGATTTTTATGGAAAAAGCGCCGCGATTTTTTTTTTAAATTTTCATTATTTATCAAATTAACGATGTATGTTTTCTACATTTGTGTACTTTGAACTACAATAACACCAGTAAATATTATTTCCACCCGAAAAAAATAATACCGTTATGATCAGGAGTAAGACCCCTATCGATCCTAATATTATTATTTTTAATAAGAGCAATATATGTACGTATTGTACACTTATACTTCCTAACTATACGCACTTATTTGTGTATTTTTTTAACGTATGGTAGCATACATTTTGTGTTACTGTCAGCCATTGTTATTTCTGCTTGTTTGTGAAATGTGCAAACGTTTGTGAAGACATTTATAAACGCGTTTTACTTAATTAATTAATTAAGAATTGTATATTAAAGTGGAAATCTCAGGCCGGGGTTTTAATGCAACTATTTTGCCGAAGTGTGCTCATAAATAAAGTGTTTATTGTGTGAAATAGCGCCGAGAGGTTAGTTCAATTTACAAACTTTAACAACAAATAACTTAAAAACTAGAAGCCTGCTGCGGCTAAAAGTATATATATTTGCAATCAGGAGAACTGCCTCTATCGTTCCATAGCTACCTTAATGCGGAACTCCGGGGATGCCAAACTAAATTGCAGCCGCTTCTTCATCGCCAGGAGCACCATGGGTACCATGGGTACCTTCCGCCCTCAGCACATTCAACTACAGGAGCACCTTCAAAGTGTAGGTCCAACTTGTCAAATTTTGCAAAGTTATAAGAAAACTTAATTTTTCTGAGCGACCATAAATGATTTGCAACTCTTAATATATATCAAACGAAAGGTAGACCGATTACCTTTCTTTTGATTATAACACCGTTAAAATCGCTTTACGTTTTCATAAAAACTTTGCAAATTTGTAAACAGCTATATATAAGCAATGAAAAAGTGGTAAAATTTTGCAAAGTTGTAACGAAACTGAATTTTTGTGCACCATTACAAATGATTTGCAACTGTTAATATATATTAAAAGAAAGGTATATCGATTACCTTTCTTTTGATTATAATGTTGTTAAAATCGGTTAACTATTTTATAGAAATTTTGCAACTTTAGAAAACATTATATGTAAGAAGTGACAAAGCTGTCACATTTTGCAAAGTTCTAACAAAACTGAATTTTTGTGCACCATTACAAACGATTTGCAACTGTAAGTATATATTAAAAGAAAGGCAAATCGATTACCTTTCTTTTGATTATAATATTGTTAAAATCGGTTAACTATTTTATAGAAATTTTGCAACTTTAGAAAACATATGTAAGAAGCGACAAAGTTGCCACATTTTGCAAAGTTCTAAAAAAACTGAATTTTTGTGCACCATTACAAATGATTTGCAACTATTAATATATATTAAAAGAAAGGTAAATCGATTACCTTTCTTTTGATTATAATACTGTTAAAATCGCTTAACTATTTTATAGAAAATTTGCAACTTTTGAAAACATATATATGCAAAGGAGTAGTAGTAATAATAAGCAATTAAGCAACCACATATGTATGTAAAAATATCTTTATTATTAATGTTAATTGTAATTTTTATTCATAATATTGATTACTAACTATGTATATTAGGTTAACAATGCATTTTGAAAAATAAATTTTGCAAACTAAAAATCAAAAAAAAATGTAAGATTTTTTATTTGTTTTTAAGGTTATTTTGAATTCGCTGTGAATAGAATGCAACCCTGCGCCAGCTGAAGTGGGCAATGCTAGACGAGTGCAGCTATATGTTTTCCTTACGAAGTATCTGAATGAGTGCGACAGTGATGCAAGGATCACACGTACAGAGGGAAAGTGGTGACAATCTGCACACCGCCCATACAAATGTCACCAGTTTTGTCATCAGTTTTGAAGTGACTGAAACCCGCGGTTTCACCAGATTTTTCACCACTTTTGGCTGGCAGGGAACCGCCCTATTCCCACAACACTGACAAAATTCGTCATATGACTATTGTCACAATTACTGCGCCTAAAACACAATATAAACATTGTTTCGCCGTTGTCACTTACTCAGTAGGTCATAACAATAAAACTGACAATTGTCATACGCAGTAGTAAAGGCAATAGTCAACCGCGTTTTGTCAGTGGTGTGGGAATAGGGCGGTTAGTCGAAACTAACAAAGTTGCAACTTAAATTTAAGTATCAACTTAAAATTTACCTCTATTCATAGTCGAATTTCAGGGGTCGAATCGCGACAGACGTGAATGAGTCGGCAATCGTACGAACACGAATTACGTGATCGTTTAATCGAATGAACAATATCGGATGATAACACTCGAAGGCGAACGAATCGTTATTGTTTATTTGGTTATCGATTATTTTTCTCTTCTTCTTCCTTTTTTAAGTCACAATAGACATTGAAGTGTCAAAATAAGTGAAAAGTAAATAAAGAAAAGCGGCAAAACTAAAATGGATCCGAGCCTTTTATTTTATTTAAGCTATAGCGAAAGCGAAAATGATGTAAGAGTTGTGCGTAAGCAACTTCGGGACAGAAGCAATCCATTGGCATTATCCAACAACGCAGAGTAATTGATACATAGGAAATAAATTACCTTCTCTACTCCTATACTTGCAGATTCATCAAAAGATTTCGGTTAAGCAAGGAGGCATTCCAGTATGTTTTATCGAAAATAAAAATAAACTGCCATGACACAAAAGCCGTTCTTGCTGTTTTGCAATTGGCTGCAAGTCTCTCGCTCCTTGCAAGTGGTGGCTATCAGCACACAGTTGGTAGTGATTACCTGATAGGTATGTGCCAGAGCACGGTATCAAAATTTACGTCCAACGTCTTAAAAGAAATGGAAAGCAAATTATGTCCGGAATTTATAAAGTTCCAGCCGAACGAATCTTCGAGATCTAAGGAGTGGTTTTCGGAAAAATATAAAATACCTGGAGGTAAGAAGAGGCGTTCTAATAAAATGCGTAGTGAATCCAATGTTTTTCTTTTTAGTGGTTGGATGCGTAGACGGAACACACATTGGATTACAAAAGCCAATTAGAGACGAGCACATGTACTTCAACAGGAAAGGTTACCATAGTCTTAACGTTATGCTAGTAAGTTTCTTTTCTTTCATTTTAACATTATTAACATTATTACTAATATTAAGTTTGCCAGATTTGTGACCACACTTGCAAGATTCTTGCAATAAATTGTCAATATGGAGGTGCAGTCATGACTCTACGCATACTTCCAGTCCTGCTGCTTCCCCAAGGAACTCCTCAGCTGCAGTTAAAACCTTTTCCTGAAAAGGTCCACCACCTGTCCGTCGTTTGGAAGCCTTGTTAAAAGAAAGCTTCCTCTTTGCGTTGTATTTCTGATCAGCGAAAACCTAGATTAAAAGAAAGTTCGTTCATGTTTACTTTCATTAAAAATATCAAAACCTACTTTCTTGCACATCCTTGATTGGCGGCCGTACAACATTTAATTGTTTGGTGAGGTTTTCCTACAAACGGTTGGCCGTTGCTTTTCCCTGCAAGCAGTTTGGGAGTAAATTCTTTGCCAAGTCAGAGTGTTCGGCCATGAACTCCGCCATGAGTTCCTTCTGCGTAGAGTTTAATTTATTGTAGTTGGTCCTAATATAAAAAATAGCTATAAAGTGTATATGTTTGGACAAATTTTATAATTACTTACATTCTTCAAAAAATGTTATCAAATTTTGCGCGCGTACGTTCGTCAAATATTAATCGAATGACAGTTCGAACGAACGAGTACGTTCACTCGCTCGTTCACGCCTGTCATAATACCGAATTACGATATGAGAAGTTCGTTCACGTCTGTCAAAATCCGATTTTGTCCTTTTTACGTGACGAATTGCTCGTTCACGACTGTTACGATTCGAGCCCAGACTTCTACTAAGTAGTTTCGAATTAGTTTACGATATAGCAAAACGAGTGTGAAAATGTATAGATTTTTCTTAACGATATTTTGGAAAAATTACATTTTTATTAAATAATGTCAAGTTTGATCATCCGTTTATGTAATTTTTATTTTCATTGCATGATTATTCAAAAGAATAAGGTATCATTTCCTTGTTAATTGTGTGGAATAGCCAGAACAACCGCAGTGATGTGAAGTCGATGTTTATCGAAAGCATGCTGTGAAACACACAAATAGTAGATATCTAAATGTTATGCACAAATTTACTTTAAAAGAACTAGCGTGAAACTGACTTATTATTTGAGAATTTATCTAATTTATTCCAATTATAAAATTGTGATTTAGCTTTATTCGACTTGTAATACGCATTTAATTTCATCTTCCGATAAAAATGGATCGATCTTTGTAAATTTTAATTGGAGATTATTCAATATTATCAAAATCACCCTCTACCAACTTAATTTTTACATATTTCGTCTGTGTTCCCTTAATTTGATAAAATACTTCTTCCTAGTTACGACTTAGTTGCAGCTGCAGCCGAAACTAAATTTTAAGTTGGTACTTAGCCAGAAGAGTCGAAACTTAGGCGACTATGAATAACTTTAGTTGTGACCAGCGTTGCCACAGACAAATTTTTGTTCCTACCAAAATTTCCTACCATAACCAACCAAAACCTACCAAACATTTTTGAGTTTTAATATTTGTTTTCAATGTCAAATTTTTTAAAAACATAGTAAACATAAACTAGTAAAACTAAAACACAACTAGATTAATAAAAACAAATTAACTGCGTATACCGATTTATTTTACTGTACTGACTTATCCATATGTACATATGTCTCTTTACACATACATACATATCGTCACTATATACGAATAAAGACGCGAGCTCAAAAGTTGATAGCAAAAAAAGAGGCGTAAAAAAAGTTCGGCGAAGAAAGACTCTTAACATAGATGGCGGCAAATTAAGCCGCGTTAACCTCTTTGACAGCGAAGAAAGACCCATAAACTTATGTCCGCGGTCAACTATATTTTCGAGTGCAACAGTATTCCCCAGAACTCCCCTAAGAAATTTTCTTAGCTCTTTATTGTGTCTAGTGACGATATTATTATTATTACGTCGAAGATACCCGCGCTGCGACCTAAGAAGATATATTGTGCTAAATCAGAATTGTAATCACTCCAACCTTAGCTATTTAAAAAGCTCAGCACTTTGGATGAGGCCATGTTCCAAATTTTAGATGGAGAAGACAATCGTTCTCCAAGGTGTATCAATCTACAATTCATGCTTCGTGGACAGGCACATAGAATATACTCTGGGGTTTCTTTCACCAGCCGACAAACCCTACAGTCCGTCTCTACAGAAGGACTCATTTAATTAAAACCGTACGTTAACTTTCAGTGTGCTGTCAGCAAAAGTTCTAAGTTCAATGTGTCTTTTGGAGTTCCTGCTGCAAAGAGTTATACATATCTTTGATTGTCTTATTCCCTTTGACTTCCGCCAGTAGGCAGCAATTTGAGATTATTCCCAGCTAGCTCCTTAGTAGGTCTGCAGTGTATCCTTTAGATGTACCACAGAAAGGCTAGGGACTATGCAAAGGCGTTTGGGCTTCACGAATTGCGAGACAGTCAGCCCTTTTGGCGCCTTCAAATCCTTCATGTGTGACGCTATTGTTGTCTCGCAGGTGGTTCAAGAGTTTACAAGTCTTGATGCCGTTTTAAAATATATACATAATATTTATTCTGGCCTCATTTGCCTTCTAAGATGACATTCGCGAAGACAGACTTCGACTGGGAAGACTTCCGCCTGAAATATGGTTGAGTACGAGCCCATTCGCCAACTTTTCTCGAATCTTGGTCCAAGTACGCCATAAATTATATCGCTACCTAAAGGTGAAAAGGTGCCAAGTCCATTTTTTTTTTCAAAGTTTAGTTTTTGATGCAGAATGGCAGGTAATACGAAACTACATAGATTTTTCTTCTCTCCTGAACAATTTCTAAAATGGACTTCTTTTCATGCTTAGGTCACGATATATGAATGTCCGTATTGCATATTGGCAATAATAAGGTATACGTTTGTACTTAGGAATCTGGTATATTTACATGTTTGTGGCCGCCATTATACGAACGCACCGGTGAAATATTTGTTTAAAAAAGTTTGCTAAAATATTTGGGTACGTACATATTTTCTATTTTTCGCAAATTACTATTACTCATTGTCCCGAAACCTACCAAAAGCCAATCAAGCCTACCAACCTACCTACCAGTTTTGGTAGGAAAAGGCATGTTTGGCAACACTAGTTGTGACTTAGAATAGTTTCGACTTAAGGCGAAATTAGTCAACGACGTAGCGTAAACGTACGTTGACGCTGACACGATCTACCTTATGAGATTTGCGTGTTAAAGAAAACTCACCACCGCAAGACGCTGACGTTGCCGTTGCTTCTATCTCTCTCTATCAACAGTAAATTTGATATGTTGCTACGTACGCTTACGCCACGTCGTTGACTAATTTCACCTTTAGTTGAGTACTAAATATGACTATGAATATGCGCCTATCATTCTTGATTCGATACTCCATACTATTCACATCACTAATGTAAATACTATTTGACGTTTTGCGCATCAGCTGGACAATTCTTGCATTGAAGGACTATTAAAATAATAGAATATTAAAAAAACACGAAAAGGTTACAAAGTACGAATCAAGTAAAATAATGTAAGTTCTAGATTTTATCTTCATCATTTTCTTGGCATCTCTAAAATGATTCATGAAGTGCTGTTGTCCTGTCTCAACTTGCAATCGAAACGCTTGTCGTTGGAAGATTTTACAGAACCAGATGTTACTGCTTTCCTTCATCCTTGTGAGAAACATGTGCTGCAGGATATTGTAACCATCATAAATCTATTGCGGGATATAGAAAAATTTGCTAAAGTATGTGGGAGCAATAATATTTGCAATCGTATGGTATTAATATTCGATACAGATGAGCCTCTACAAAAGGGGCTTTACTTAAAAGCATTCGCAAATGGCATCGATACAGTTTTAAAGGATTATTTTGCAGAAATTACCGCCCTTGAAAAAAGCTACATACAAAATCCAACAAATTTCTCACTCCTTTACATTTATCGCAATTTGAAAAATTATGAACCATTAGCGCTTTATTTGCGCAAACTTATAAGGGTAATACGCACCCAGAAACTACATGGCTGTGAAATAATGCAGTTCTTGCATCAAAACGCTGAACATGGTGATCAGAAAATAAGGGCAGCTATTAAAACCCTTCAACTCGCAGTAAATGTAGTATTCTTCAAACAACTTACTCATTGGATACTGTATGCGAAGATAATTGATACCTACGGCGAATTTTTCATACAATGCTCAGAAGGCCATAGCAATAGTGCAGCAGAAAGTGAAACCAGCAAATGTGCCAGCACGGAAAGTGGAAAACATGCCAGCACCATAACTACGCTTTCAAAAGTGGCCAGTACCTATGCGGATATTTGGCGCTATGAAATATGCTACGAGCTACTGCCTCACTATTTGCCAACGGGTTGGGCTGAAAAGGTACTATTTATTGGACAGACTATACTCATATTTAAAGCAGACGCCAATAAACACAAGAATCTCACACAAAACTGGAATAAAACCGAACACACTGATTTGGAAGATGGCAGTTCTCTGAGCAATGAAAAGGAGCATATCTACTTTGGCAAGATACAAATGCTACAAAATGATGAAGAATTGAATGTTCAACACTATGAAAGTATTGTTAATGAAATTAAAACATATGTGACTACGCGATTATCTGAAATTGCTATCAATCAGGCTGATTTGGTGCAACAGTTGAAGCTAATGAAGGATTTCTTCCTCCTAGGACGTGGTGAGCTATTCTTGGAGTTCTTACGCCTCACATACATAATTGGCAAAGATAAATATAATGAAAATAAAGTGCATGACTTTGTAAAAGCATTTGAATCAGCAGCGCACGGTGTCGGTGTTTCTGAGGATTTGGAGCGGTTCTCTTTGAGTATCGCAAAACCGCTGATGCAAGGGGGTAGCTCCAAGGAGTTGGAACACAATTACTTGCAGTACATGCAGCTTAATTACAAAATTAATTGGCCATTACATTTGTTGTTTTCGCCAAAGGTCATCGAGAATTACAACGTACTATTTCGCTTTCTACTCTTGATTAAGAAAATTCAGTTTGAACTTCATATGTTATGGAGCAATAATGTGCGTCGCTCAAAGAGGAACACAACTCACAATATACACTTAACAAATCTGTTAAACCAATTAATGTTTTTTATCGACAACTTGCAATATTACATACAAGTCGATGTACTGGAGAGTCAATTCAGCATTCTTTTAAATACAATACTTAACAAAGCCGACTTTGAGGAGATTCAGAAGGCGCATAGCATTTTTTTGGCGAATATACTTTCGCTTTGCTTTTTATTGACGAACGAAGATACTATGAAATTAAATATAAATCAATTTATAATCTCACAGTCGAATAATCCAATTTATAACATACTTATCGATGTTTTTAACTTGTGCGATAACCTTTGTATGATTTTAAGACAAGAGCTGTCTGCGGCGAAAAACAAGGATCACATAGATAAACTCGATGAGCGTTTTGGAGTTTTAATGGATCAATTAATCAATTACCTAATTGCTTTCAAAACAAACCCAACTACAACGCCATTGTCACAACTGCTACTGCGTTTGGATTTCAACCACTGGTTTAGCACAAAGAAAAACCAAACATTTGCATAAAAATGCAGAGCTTCTGCTAAATATCTCTTGAATTTCATTTAGTTTTACAAATATGTATTATAGTTTTTTAAAACTTGTTTGAATTATATATATGTCCGAAAAAGTCTTAAGTGGTATTTTTTTGAAATTTCTCGATCACGAATTGGAAAAAATGGAGGTTTTTTTGTCAATAAATCTTTTAAGAGTTGTAGCAAATTTTGGATTCCAAAGTTAAGTTAAAAAGAAAAATACAAGGCGAATTAATATAAGGTGGTGTTACTAGCTCAGCTGATTTTGTGTTTGTGTTTCGCCGCACGGCTTCTGATATCAAATTGAAAAATTTTGTTTGAATTTCTACACACACTCTTACAGATTTTGACAGTTTTTGCCGCCAAAGCAAAAACAAAATACATGTAAATTTTGGTTTTTGTACTCCTGCTATCACCTTATATTAAGTCGCCTTGGAAAAATAGTTTTAAAGTTAAGAACTTTAATGAAATTAAACGACTGCACTTAACAAATATGTTAAATCAATCAATGTTTTTTTATCGACAACTTGCAATATTACATACGAGTCGATGTACTGGAGAGTCAATTCAGCATTCTTTTAAATACAATACTTAACAAAGCCGACTTTGAGGAGATTCAGAAGGCGGATAGCATTTTTTTTGGCGAATATAGTACTTTCGCTTTTCTTTTTATTGACGAACGAAGATACTATGAAATTAAATATAAATCCATTTATTATCTCGCAATCGAACAATCCAATTTATAACATACTCATCGATGTTTTTAACTTGTTCGATAACCTTTGTATGATTTTGAGACAAGAGCTGTCTGCGGCCAGAAATAAGGATCACATAGATAAACTCGATGAGCGTTTTGGAGTTTTAATGGATCATTTAATCAATTACCTAATTGGTTTCAAAACAAACCCAAGTACAACGCCATTGTCACAACTGGATATTTTTGAAAATTTGTAATCAAGGCTCTAGTGATTTGTGTTTAAAAGTACTTATGGTGCACAAATTTATAATAAGAATGCATTTTATTTTTAAAAATGACTATATTATTTACATAAATATTCAACTTTAGCGTAAAATATACGCTCTAGAAAATCGTGCCCTTCTGTAGCGTATGGTTATTGGCTTGTTCGAGTTGCAATTACAACCGCAGTGTTGCGCGAATTATTAAAGTATCGCGTTCTGTGTGAATTTCTAGCAATGTATTATCAGTAGGGCAGTTGCAACAATGTTGCCATTTTTCATCAGTACGGCAGTAATGCCGCTTTTATTACGTGCCTCGAACAGGCCCTATCTTTTACGTAAGTTGTAATATGGCTATCTTTCTAGGGTTAAATAAATCTTGAGCTAAATTCTGAAGTATGTATATTCACGAATATCACTTTTTTATATACTAAAATTTAAATTTATTTATTTATTTATTTATTACAGTCATTTGACCTATATACATTCACGTATATACATTTGAATTATGTATTGCAATATACAATAAAAGTAAAGTTAAATTTACTGCTTAAAATACGTTAACCTGTTACATTTTTCCTTCTAAGCTATATAATAGTATGTATATTTAACTAAGATAGCATATTCTCGATGCTGTTGGAATGGACGGGATTCCAAGCAGTACCGTAAATATATCACGTACGATATGCGGTCTAAGAGTGTAATTTCCAGAGCCGCCACAACTGAGCGGTTGGAAAGGAATAGTTTCCAAGCCGCTTCTTATAAACTTCTCTACCGGCAGGCGATCTGAATGGACGAAATCCAGAGTCGCGCCATTTGATCGGACGGAAAGGACTAGTTTCCATGCCGACCTTCTTATTTCATACATTATGGGTGATCTGAATGGACTAAATCCAGAGTCATCCAGCCAGTACGGATGGAAAGGACTAGCGATCATTTCCTGTATGGGTGTGTCGTACCGCTTGTTCAAGATAAATCGCATAGCCCTATTTTGCATTTTTTGAAGCTTATCTATTTGTGTGTCGCTTGCTATAAAAACGATAGTTGGACAGTATATGAAATGTGTTCAACTATAGATCTGTAGACCAAAGTCTTATACCTCCTTCCTAAGTACTTACATGATCTTTTCATGAGACCAATTTTTTTACCAATTTTTGCTACTGTGTAGTCAATATGTTCCTCAAATTTTAACTTATCATCGATATATATACCTAAATATTTAATGATTCTCACTTTCTCAATTACTTCATCTTTAATTTTTAAACTGTAATTATCGGAGCTAACGTTAGCTGCTCTATATATGACCATAAACTTTGTCTTGTTCACATTTAATTGCAGTCTGTTTACGCACAACCATTTATACAAACAATGAAGGTCTTCTTGCATTTTAATCATTGCATTGGGTAGATTAAAGTCACTGAGGGTTAAGAGGGTATCGTCGGCGAACAATTTTACCTTACAATACTTCAATGCTGAGTTTATGTCGTTGATATAAATATTAAAGAGTATTGGAGCTAACACCGACCCTTGTGGTAGACCAATATCTACTGCTACCTTTGTGGATAGAGCTGTGCCAATCACCGTTTGTTGCTTCCTATCAGAAAGAAAACTACGGAACCATGTAAGTTCGATGTTATCTATACCAATATATTCGAGTTTTTTTTAGCAATATTTCCCTGTCGATTGTCTCGAAGGCTCTCTTAAGATCCACAAACACCGCCAAGATAGTTTTCTTAGAGTTCAGGTCCTCCTTCCATTGTGATAAGATCGAGTTTAGAGCTGTTTCGCATGAGTGATTAGCCCTAAAACCTGACTGCTCCTTAATGAGTATTTTATTTGACTCAATATAGTTTAATAGTTGATTTTTTACAACCGTTTCCTGTTTTTTTTTAAGTTGGGAAGGGTGTTTATTGGCCTGAGCTCCTCCGATTTTATGGTGTTTTTGACCTTTTTTATAGGGACAATGGTCGAAGTTTTCCATTCTGTCGGAACTATTCCCAACTGAAGGCTCTTATTTACTAATAGGGCGTAAAAGTGACCCATGTATTCAACGGAGTCTTTGATTACATCCTCGGATAATAAATTATTTCCACCAATTTTTATCTTGAACTTCTTTACTATATGGTTAATATCATCTGTACTAATCTCACAAAATTTAAAGGTCCCTCGATTATTTTCCTGTTGAATCGGATCATAATTAATGTTTTTTATATTCCTATTAATATCGATGATACTATCAACAAAGAAATTGTTTAACTTGTCGGCGATTTCAGTTCTATTGCTATATATTTTACCGTTGATTCGAACCTCTTTGATGTTTTCTTTGTGATCCGCATTATTGACAATATTCTTCAAACTTCTTAAACGACTGTCACCTCTATTAATTTCCACCTTGTGTTCCATATATTGTATTTTTTTAATTCTAATCATTTTTTTTATACGCTTTCTTTATTTCATTGTATTCTACCCAATCACCAGTGATCACTGCCCTTTGGTGTAACCTAAATTTTTCTTTATTAGTTTCAGTCAATTGTCTGTCATACCATTTATTTCGGATTTTGAACCGCTTTTGTACACGAGAAGTTAGTTTTTTCATACTCGAAATCAAACAGTTATTAATATGTTCGAGTATACCATCAGGACTGAGACTATTCAGGTCAGCGAAGGTGCATTGTCGCAAACGATTTATAAGGTTGTCTGGGCTGTACCCATCCCACGAAGTTATTTCAGACAGTTTACTGATAGGGCTTTGTTTTTTATATCGCATTTGAACATTATATTTTCATGATCCGATATTCTATGTTCCTCCGCTTTTTCACATGACACTTCCTTTGCGTTCGAGTACAATAAGTCGATCAGTGTTTCGGAATATTCAGTAACCCTAGTATTAAAGTTAATTAACTGTTTCATTGCCTGATGGGCGAATATCTCGTTCAGTTTCTTACTATATGTCGACATTATATTCAGGTTTATATTAAAATCTCCGATAATAATGGTATTTACCGACAAAATGGTCTCCATATATTCTAGAAAATCAGCATCACTTGAACTAGGTGAGTGATAGACCACCCCGATTTTCCATTTGGTTTCGAGATTTTTCAGTTGGATAACTACACACCAAACATTTTTATCGATAGATTTGTTTAGTATTATTTTAAAATCTAGTGCGTTACGCAATATTATAATTACCCCTCCTGTATGTCTACTGTACGAGTCACATCTTACAACTTGATATGTTGGAAACTGTATTTCATAGTCATATATTTCCTCTGTTGTACAAGTTTCGGAACATAGAACTATATCCGGATCAACAATTTCAATTAGCCTTTCAAGTTCTATTTTATTAGCTACTATACTACTTATGTTAAGATAAACGCATTTCAAGTAACTGTTATGCTTTTCATGTACTGGCTGAACAGTCAACTCCATGCCACGTTTCCTATTAACTGACTGTAATTGTTAATAGCTGGCTCTATTTCTCTTATGCTCTAGTTTCTTCATGTATACACGACACTGTCGGTTAGTTGTCAAGTGGTTCACGTCGAGCCCTAGATTAAATTTTTTGTTTGCACGAATGCAATTGATACACTTGTTTATTTGCTCCTTTGTGCACTCCATTGTTTTATGAATACCCAAGCACTTCAGGCAGACCTCTTCATCCTTGCACTTCGTAGCTATATGATTGAAGCCCTTACATTTGTAGCAGACTGACACACCCATACCATCTTGGACTCTACATTTCTCCCACCCAATATTTATTTTTTTGCTTTTGAGCACTGCCGAGAAGGTATCAACGTCCGTTTCAATGAGCACATTATAGTATTTAGACCTATCTTTCTTGACTTCAATGTGTTTAATAATTTTAAAGTCAGCACTTTTCAAACAGTCATTTGTTTTTTTTTATCATTTCTACAAGCTGCTCGCTTTCATATTTAAAGCTTACTCCAAACGCCATAAACTTGGGTTTAGCCGTATTCGGCACTCTAATTTCATAGCGGTCACTAATTTTTTTTGCAATTGCGGTCTTTATTTTATCGCGCTCAGATTCGTTTTCGCTTTGAATAATGATTGTACCACTTTTCCTACCCTGCACATTGCTTATTTTTAGATCCGATGGATCAACGTTCTTATTCAGGTCCTCTTTTGTTTTCATCGCGTCTTGCTTCTCTTTCGGTTTTATGATCAGGGGTTTCTCTTTATTTATTTTCGGTTCTTTGTTGTTCAATAATCTGCTTTTTAAACGCTCAGCATATGAGGCCTTGCTGTGATGACTTGATTTCAGCTCTTCACTTACTGACTTTTTTATTTCTTCACATATTTTTCTACTTTCACTCTCATTTCGTACCATAGCCTCGCATAGATCTTGGCTGTGCTTTTTCACATCTTCAGCTACAGCTTTCATCTTATTGGCCTCAGCTATGCTAGTTTCGCATGTTTTTTGAACTCTGCATTGCATCTATACGCTCACCGAATTTCCTCTCTATAGCTTATAAGAGGAGCTTTAGCTCTTTAACCTGCATTTTTTGCGCGACTCTTGGAAGTCGTCTTTACACTCTTTTATGTTTTTACTATTATTCTCTATAGAGATATTCATATTTCGCAACACCTCATCAATATTATGCATATATGTGAGACAACCATCGCACATAAAGCGCACATAGGCATTGTCCGCAAGGACTTTTTTGCTGAACTCATCGAGATCAGAGCATTTCTTTGCCCAGTGGAACACTTTGCCGCATATACCTTCACAGCGGATTCCACTCTCACCGCGTATTAAGCCTTTGCACTTATGGCAGTCACCCATTTTCTTGGCTGACACTTCACTGCACTTTTGAGTGTTTTTTAATTATTTGCCGACGTCCCAAGCCTTGTCGCACGGTGTTATCGACACCTGCGTCTATTATGGTTCATAATTCGTTATTTGTGTTTGTATGTATGTGTTGTGTTTACTAGAGGTAAAGCACGAAGCCGCTGCTGCGCGCCCATTCGCCTATCACTATTCTCTTCACTTTCACCGTTTTCTTCCTAGTCCCAAAGTATACTTTAATTTAATTTGATTTGCTTAAACTAGTGTCACTATCATTTTGCTATTTAGCAAAATTCACTTTCCGATTATATATATGAATCGCTATTTGCATTTGAAATCGCGTTAAGCTAATAAAACCGCAGAATTTAAAAAACTTCGCGGAGCTAACTATAACACGACCTTTCACACCCACAACACAATTCTTAATATTAGTAAGCATTTTTTTTACTGCATTCACCCGCATTTTGGGGGTTAAAAACTACTAGTTTTAATAAATTGTCAGTTTAATTTCTTATAAAATATACCTTTAGGTTTTTTATGCATCTTAAGCAAACACCGTAAAAATTTGTTTTAGAGAATCAATGTGAAATAATTGCAGAAACGATTAACCGGTTTGCTGAGCAACCGAGACGTCCGCTTTTTAAATAATTTCACTGGATCACAAATTTGTGTTTTGCTTTTGTACCTCGGATGCCCCTATCCATGTTCCATGTAGAATCGCCCGCTGATTCCAAAAATCGAGTTAATTTTTTACTCTATGGATACGTTTTCGAGATATTTTCAATTTACCATTACTCAGCTTAAAACAAAAGTTGGTTACACTTAGTCACTTACTTATATCTAGCGTTGCCAGACGCGCTGCTTTTGGGAGCAAACGTGCTCCTTATTATTGCAATGTTATCCATTGTACTCCCAAAAATAATATCTGAAAATGTACTCTTTTTTTAGTTTCGTACTTCTTTTGTACTCCTTTTTCCATCTATTAGCTTTTTATATGTAAAATAGCAACACCCTTATTCTAGAACCCGAATTTTCGTAGTTCTAAAAATCGACATGCTGCAATCCTTGCGGAAAAATGGGCAGCATTGCCAGCTATCAGTTGGTTTTCGAAGTCAGCTGTATGAAGGAAAACAAAGTGGAAAGGAATTAAAGAAACACTTAAGTTATCATGTGCTAATTGATAATTATCATATTAATTATCATGTGCTTGTTTATTGTAAAATTTGTTGATTTTAAATATTTTTGGGAAAATTATGGATTCTGATGCATTTGCAATAAGAGCGTGCTATGGCATGGATTCACAAAGGTATGCGGAGCTGTCGGGCATAGTAACAATGGACGGATCTATGTCAGCTTCTGGTTGAATTGTTCAGCCACCAGCTATAATTCCTCCTATGCCTGAAGAACTGGTTCTCAATCCAATTATCGCAATAACTACTTCTTCCAAGCCATTGAAAATATGCATTTTGTTAGGTCCACCACCTGGTTGCGCTTGCTTCTGCCTTCGGCCGCGCTTAGGGATTATAAGCCTTACTAATGAGAATTCTCTTTTCTGTGCTGCCGGAGAAGAGGGCGGAAGCCCCTTTTCTACTGTGA